GCAGAATCCAAACAGACAGACTCATAAATATTAAGTGAGAATGCAGCAATATGAAAGTGTCTTTTTTTCCACATTGAGCCATGTCTCTCTTTTTGCTGCAGCTCAGTCCCCCTGCTTCACAGCACACATCATAACTGAGATCTTTTTTCTTATAATGCATCACCGCCCGCCATTCCTGAGAAAACAATTCAGCACCAGCGCATATAATTTGGTGCATGACTGCCTAAAAACCAATCAAACATCAATCTGTTTGGTGGTTGTAAGTATGTCCGTGCGGCCTGATTGTGCTGCTCGTGTTTAAAAATAAATGATTTCCAGCCTGAAGAGCGGGTACAGCTGTCTGACTTCAACCTCTGACAGACGCCATTACACACCTGTCACCTTCTGATTACTTTTGCAGGCCTAAACAATGTAAGAACAGAGCCTCATGGCTCTCATCGTGCATTCAGAGGGGGATCTTTACACAAATACAAACGCACATAAATGAGAACCAACAAGAAAATGTGATATTTTCTATATGCCTGCATTCAGGTATATTCAGCAATAGTTTGCTTATGTTGGCACACAGGTGTCTGCATTCGCTGCTCACAGAGCTCTGTGTTTTATTATCCGTCAGTACTTAATGGAGATTAATAGACGGGTGTCCAGCAGGGTGTGTGAAAAGTGACAGGGTAGTGTTTCTGTAATGCTGCTGTGCATGCAGCCTGTCACTCATACTGATTTTTCTATTTTCACGCCACTGAACTGCAAAACCTCTGGATACGTTTCAGTCATAGGGAAATATGCCAAAGACCTGTCTCACACTTTGAAAAAAACATGTGCCCACCACTGCAATATTGCAACCATTATACAGAGACTATTGCAAAAAAATACACAGTGCATTAATTTGGCCAAATTGAAGGCTTAAAATATATTTAGATTGTCCTCTTCTGTTCTTCTGAACCTCGCCCTGCTATCCTCCTAGTATATAGAATTAACATACTGCATTACAATGATAAACATTAACTTATCAATATTGTGTAACTTTCATGTAAAAGTTTGCACATATGCTCTTCAGATGTCCTTCAATAGCAACATATAGCATAACCCCTTTGACCAACATCCTACACTTCCTGTTAATATGATACTTTGAATGGAGTTAATGATTATTGAGGCTCAGCCTACTCTGGACGATAAAATGGTTTGGTACTAATAACCTATCACTAAATTATGCATTAGGCCATAATCTTATTAAACTGGTAACTTATATAAAGTGCATCCTATTGGGGGTTAAACACTTTTTTGTTTGTTTGTTTGTACACATAATGGGGAATGACTGACTTATGGAGTCTGCCTTAAGTGTCCATTTGAGGAACTGCAACTTGTGGCAGACAGTGCATACTGTAGGCATTTCTGAATGTACAGTAACTGAAGTGAAACAAACACTATGTGTTTAGGACTTCTAACTGTGGTTTACCTTAACTACCTGGTCAGATTTTACCCATCTATTAGCTCTTTAGTATAAGCTGAGGTTGTTCAAATATGAACAGCCATGAAAGACTATGCAAAAAATACTGAGAACAAAGGGGAATAAAGGTGTTACATTCTATTAACAGGCATTTCAATCCTCTCTCTTTTAAAGCCTTTGTGTATTCTGTGTTCTCTCATGCTTTTTTTATTTGTTTGTGTGGTTGCTTTCTTTTTCCTGTCAGGCACAGATGTAGTTACCTAGACATGCTTTTTTCTTACAATTGTATTTGACATTAGAGCAGATAAAAACTCTTTTGTTCTTGTGTTTCTAAACCCCCCTCTGCGCTCTTAAAGGGCCTGGAATCTCTCTTGCTGTGGATCCATTGAAACAATTACTTCATGTTTAAGGATACAAAGGTTTAAAGACCTGACAAGCCTCAAAACTAAATCCATACAGATTTAACATTCTAATGGTTTGGATGGATAATCAATGTGAGTTACAACTTTGTTGTTGTTAAAATAAAGATTTTTAACAAGGGGAGCAACAGAGATGTTTAGAGCATCATGCAGTTTGGTCAGTTTAGATATTACAGATTACAGATTCAGATAATACAGTGAGCATGTTGCATTTCTATTACACACTATACAATATCGAAATTCTAAACATATTTGATTCCTATACTCCTGTCCTAGCAGATTTCTGTATTATTGAAGTGTCCTTTAAAAACACTGAGCTCCTACCAGCAGCTATAGTTTAACTGTAGCTTCACTCTGATAACTGTCCATATGACAGAAAGAAAAAAAAAAAGATTAAAAATACACAAAGAAGACTGTCATGATCCTTTGGTATCCTCTCATTTTAGATATAGAGAAAGTCACACCAAGCCTGTAACCTCTGGGTGTAGTTATTAAAATGCTACAGGAAATTAAGAAGCAGGAAAAACAAAGAAATAGCTTTTAATTCCTTGTTTTATCAGTTTCCGTTGGAACAGCAGAGTTCTGTATAAATTATCTTTCAATTAGAGGCCTGTAATGTGTGCTAAGCAGCGGTGTCAGGAAATGAGGAGGTCTTATTACATCCTGAGTACATTTATGTCTTGATTATCTGAGGCATTTTTCTTGACTCCCAAATGTAAAAGAGAAGTTGATTCCCAAACAAGCGGCCTGGCTGCATCATTAGGAGAATTATGAAAACTAAAAACTAACTTTAACATTTATTTATTTTCATCTTCAGCATTCCTTCCTGACTAACACTGTTTCTGAGCAGATGAATATTAGATAAAGTCATTCTCTTCTGTCTCAAGTTTTCATGTGTTACTTCGTTGAGTAATCATTTTGACATAGCAGACATGTTTTAAAAAGCTGCCAATATTATCCAGTGCCTCTTTGAGAGCCTCATAGTGCATGTAATAAAGTTAAAAGAAATCTAAAATATTCAGTTACTAATTTAGAGTCTTAAAGGTCCAGAGCATTTGTTTGTCTCCTCTGGAAATGGATTTAAAAAAATGCCATCAGTTTCTGGAAACCTTGTACTTGATGCCTCCTTGAGTAAGAGTTTTATTTAAACAGAGTTCTCAAGCCAATTTAAATGAAATGATAATCTCCTTAGGAAGTGTGATGTGACATTTAAAGGTCCCCCGAGAATTGTTAAGTAGGGAAAAACACCTCTGTGTCTAATTACAAGAAAATCACAGATGATTCAGCTTATGTCAGCTTAGTGCTGCAGCTCCTCAGAGATGTGTTGTTTACAATCATCCAGGTGCACCATTTATTTACAACATAACTGAAAAGAACACACAGAGGAGAGCGGAGATGGTTTGTGACTTTTATTAGATGCAGTCAGGCGGATGTGGTACTGTATAACCTTGGGTCCAATTCTCTCAGCACTCACGGTCATATTTCACCTTTTCTCTCCATCCCCTCTCACAGGAGGGCACGAGTCCAGCCTCATGCAGCTGTTTGCTTTTGCTTTGGTGGCCTTGGATTTTGACTAAGCTGATGATGGACATGTGGCTTGAAAAATGTTTTGGAAAAGTTAGAGTAAGATAAAGACAGTGATGTTCTCCTGAAGTCTAATAAAGTTCTAATAAAAGCCATCAGTGGCTCTTAATAAAGGAAGGAGGTGCATTAAACTAATGATTATTATCCATTTTTGTTCATCTGCATGCTCTTGGTTAATCATTTGATCTATATAATGAGAAGAAATAATGAGAGAGGTCTTAATCCTACAGAAGCCCCAGGTGAGGTCTGAAAATGTTGTTCCAAATCCAGCGATATGAAATGTACCAGGGCATAAAACAAGTGAAAGCAAAAGATCTTCTCAAATATGAAGAGGAGTGGTGTTGACTTAACTTTCAGAACTCTTATCTTTCTATCAGCCAATGAGTGATTATGTTGTGTAACATCACCTTTAAAGCACCTCCTGGTTTGTACGGTAGAAACCAAACCTGCACCAGGGATGTTGTAAATCCATCCACACGCTACTCAGATTTATTGCTTGTTTCTCCAGCAGCGTGAGTGTGTGTATGTTTATTTGTCACAGTGTGTGTGGTTTTGTGTTTCTAGTTCACGTGTATTGGGCCGTTTCTCTGTCAGTCTGAGAGACGGATGTGATAGTCATCTTCCCAAATCTCTCTCATCTCCCTTTGAGCACTCGTCTCTGTAACCTGATTTATCCTCTTGCACTGTTCTGTTTTTATTTATTTTTTGTTGTCTCTGTGAAATAAGGACATCTGGCTGCTCTGCCAAAAACAAGGGATTAAAATAACGTGGACAGCAGCCATACGTGTCACTGCCACTTCCTGCTCAGGCCAGCAGGTTTAGCGGTGTTAGCATTCAGGCAGTTGGCCAGTGTGCAGACTGTGGTAGCTGATATTTAGTGAAATGGGGTCCTGGGGCAGAGCGATTATCTGTTTGGACATTGTGGCAGACAAACAGTGTAATCCTGAACATTATTACATCATCCTGTGTCATCAAAACCCCACCCTCCTCCTCTTCCTCACTCATCAATCATCCATAGTTCCAAGGTCAGTTAGGTAACATCCTGGCTGTGTTGATAATTTGAGAGAGTGAAGCTTCGGCAGGGATGCATCCCGATGATGCAGGAAGATTAATGGATTGCAGATTGATTGCTTGCTGATGTCACCGGGTAACAAAAGGTTAGGCTGATGTGCACCTGCAGGCTGTGAGAGCATTTAGGCTGAATTGGGTTGTTCTGAATCTCATCATGCTTAATTTATCCTGCATCTATTGTTTGTTTGCAGCATCCAGAACATCCTATTCTCTCTGAAATATTGATTATAACCAAACAGACGTATCATGTGAGTCTCTGAACTCGCAGCCTGAGACAGAAAAATTGATGTTTTTGTATTCTCAGCCACAAAGTGATTCATGCAGCAAAGCAAGGCCTCTAAATCTGCTATAATTTTATATTAGGATATGCAGTCACTCAAGCCAGCTGTACAAAATCCTGAATTTATTTTTGTACTTCCCAGTTTTGTTTTTAGACCTTCCTCTTTGCTAATGTATTTCTCCATCTCTCTTTCCACCAGTACGTTACCTGCTCAAGAACAATGTGAGTCCAGATCTTTGCAATGAAGATGGTCTCACCGCCCTCCATCAGGTAAGACTTTTTTTTTGTTTTGACTCTCTCAGATGGCACTTTCCACTGAATCTAGAGCTCCAGTAGCTTATCAGTATCCCCCTTGGCACATCGGCTTCACTTCTGAAAATCCCCCCGAAATTCTCCGGATGAGCTGCATGTTGAACAGAGAGGGCCACATTTTTCAGCCAGTCTTTTTCTAACATTTCCTGCCAGCCCCCTATTAAAGTGTTGGAAAGAAGACCGAATGAGCCGATGTGTGAATGCAGAAGGTAATATACAGGGAAAAATCTCCGGCTGTGAGGGGAGAGGTGAGGGATACATATAGGACTGTGAAAGGGTCTAGAGTTTTATCTCAAAGTGAAATTGAGGATTAGTGTTTTTTAGTGGTGATTACATAGTTCGGGTAACATGCAGAGCCAAAAATATGGAACAACAACATTCATTTGTTTGAGGAAGAATGATGGGCCTATTTGATCCAGTAGATATAGTCCCAGCATGAAACCAAAACAGACTGTTTGCCGACCCCTCCGCTACTCTGAAGCCTCCGCTCTCCTCCAACAGCACACCTCCAACTCCCCCCCACTCGCACAAAGGAGTAATCAATTAGAACGCACCATAATTAGGCACCATTAAGTGCAAGCGGCGGACAAAATGATCCTTTGCTCGAGCTGCATTGTTGTGTTAGCAGGCTAATGTATTATATTAGGGGGACGGCCCGCCCCACCTTTATTGTAGAGATAGGACAGTGGATAGAGTCGGAAATCAGGGAAATAAATCATTTAAGGATACCTTTCCGAAGGACAGCTGTCATTAAAAGTAACGCATGAACACCAAGATTCCTTCAAGTTTTTCGTGTCGGCATGTCCCCCCCCCCAACGCTGTAAACCTAGGGGAAACACTGCACATGTATTGACAATGAATGACCGTGATATAAAAACACTTAGGTGACATCCAAATAAGCAGTGAGTATGCTATTCGTCTTTTCTCTAGTCCTTGACTAAAACAGCTTTAAACACAAGGCCTTCCCGTCCATGTAAACATGATTTTAACGTAATGTTAAGTTCGACCTCCAATTCCAAATTTGATCTGTATGTCATAATAACCAAAGAAGTAGCAAAGCCGTCATGACGTCATCCAATCCGTGGCCTGCTCTGGTTGAAATAAAAACGGACTGAAACGCGTTTAAATACTTTGTTGTTCATTAACCTAAACATCTAATAAAGACTCTTCAGACTGATAATCCAGCCCCGTGTCTCTGCACCACAGTGACTCACTGAAAGTCACAAAGCATGCTGGAGCTGAAACTGCCTCCTGTGGGCAAAAGGAAATAAAAGTAATGCAGTCATTTATTCTCTTAAAACCTTCTGCATGACACATCCTGGTGAATGAACTCTCATTTATATGCAGTTTTGAAGCCAATTTGAATCCCATTACATTCTCCTTAGGCAGCTAAACATACCATTCAGATGTTTATGCACAAAATATCTTGACAAATTGTGCACAAAGTAGCGTGATAGCAATAAGGAAACTGCTCTTTAAAAGGATTTATTTGTCTTTTCTGATGGTTTCTTTCCCCTCATTTCACTGGCTTTTTTCAAAGTAGCTGAAAGTTTAAATGTTTGGTACAGCGGATGACATCAATGCATTATTTTATTCAGATAATGGTGTGCTGGGTAAGAGGACAATAGGATATAAAACAAAACTTATTTTCTCTGTTATTTTGCTGCAAATTGGAAAAAAGCACCTTCTCCGACAATGACAGCCTTGTACTCTTCTGCTTCACAGTTAATATGAAATACAGAAAACATAATGTCTTTTTCAAAGGTTGCAAAGCCTGCCTTTAACTTGTTTCATTTTTGTCGAACACATCTCATTATTTTTGCCTCTGCTGAGCAGTATGACATGACAACTCTCTCTTTCTTTTCTTTTTTTTTTAACTTTGCTAATAAAGTCCAACTTTACCATTTGCATCTCTTCCTTAATAGAAATATAATTAAATCATTTCCTGTGTGATTAGTCTGCAGCGCTGAAATTAAAGGCCTGTGTGTTGAGTCATTCGGACATTGAAAAAAAAAAAAGAAGACCTTTAATGGAGGAGGAAATGAGTTCTGTATTGGGGGGAAATTAGTCAATTTTGATGTTGGGAATATATATGGAGGAAATCAGACCTATTATCACTTGTTAATTAGAGCCATTACTGGAATGATAAGCTTCCACCTCACTGCAATCAATGCTACACATCACTCTTCATCCAATACTGCTCTGCTGTCTGTGTAAATAATTGATCATTGCATGTCTCATTTAATCACCAATCACTCAGCCTTTGATTTAAAATGTCTATTCTGCCTTTTATTCCGTCTCCATGTACCCAATTTAGACTCTTAAATAGTGAGATATTATAACTACAGTTGTTGGCTACTCTGTTGAACTAATTTGTAATGTTTTCTGGGTAGCAAGAACAATTTTGAAACCCCAAAAAAGCACGTCTGACTGAGCAGCAGCTTCACACTGCTCCGCTCGGCTCCAGCAGAAAATGTTTGCCTTCAGGAAGAATTCAACAGCTACAAGAACATTTTACAGGGAATATACAGCAGAGAGTGCAACGCTACAAAAAAAAAAAAAGGAGCTTCCAGGAGTGTAAAATCGTAGTAAGTTTCAGACCCATGACAGGGCTGAGAAACTGTGAATTTTAAATGTGGAGGTTGTGGCTGCTGCTAACTCATCAGTGTGACTCTGGATTGTTTCTTTTGACAATTAAAAAAGATGAATGGTGTCTATACACCAAAGATTCTGAACAAACAATCTCGTAACCCATCTGTTATTGTCGGACAAAAATATCTATAGTGAATAATATAACCTTGGGAGGGACAGCCTACTTTATGGGGCTTCTAGATATAGCAAGCGCTTTACAATAAAGGACATGAAGCTTTCTTTTCAGTGTTGGGTTCCAGGTTTACAGCAGATTGTGTTCCATCCCTTTTCTCTCAACACTGACTGTTTTTCTTCATACAGCCAACGCTGGGTGAAACACTAGTGATTCATTCTACTCAGACTGTAAACAAAAACCAGTTCACTTCCAGCATGCAAATCCAGGCCTTGAGCAAATCTGTAAATAGAGATAAACTAGTGACTTCACACTGTTAACCAAAATAAAAACAAATCCGACTCTCTGAGGTTCTTCTCACATTAAAGCTTAAAAAGGACGTAATGCTCATATAATACTTCAGTTTCTTCTCTGCTGATCATCCTTTGTGGCCTCTTTGTTTTTTCTCTTCTTATTTCTCTCTCTGTAGACCCCTCACGTCCTCTCTCCTTCTCGCCTCTCCTCGCTTTGCCTCAACAAACACCCGCTGTCCCTCTTCCCCTCTCGGTTGCTCAGAGCCTAATATTCAGGCTCCTGCTGGGAGGCAGAGAAATGAACATGAGGTGGAGAAAATTGAAGCCTATCAGTCACCTCCGGCGTGGCTCGTGTTCTAAAAGCTGTCGGCCGTTTGTTGCCAAGGGATCAGATTGACCTTTGGGCTTTGAATGTGTGTGTACCAGATAATCTGCTATTTGGATGGGTCAGCCTGCACACTGTCCTCGAGATGAGACCTTTACACTTCTGCTACCATTTCAAATATAGCACCACGTACACAATACAGACAGAAACACACATGTGGAACTCATACATGTGCACACAGACAGACACATAAGGACATAGAGGCAGAGGGTGAGAAAGATATAGAAAAGTGGGGCCCATGTTTCTCTAAATGAGATGTCTTACCTTTTCGGAATTGGTCTCACCTCACTGATATGACACATTAATCAATAGATGGCCTGCTGTGGGTGATAAAATACACACACACACAAACTCACCTATACACCTTTAATATTTATGGTAAGCCCTTGAGAAGAAGTTAAAGCTTTTTGAAAGCACCTTAGCAGCTTTATTTCACTGTTGTTGTCTGAATTACTTTGGAGATGAAGAGAGTGATGAATGGAGACCTTGTGTTCAATGACAAGGTTATGCACGCACGTGTGTGTTTGGATGAATGTGTGTAAGGCCAAAAAATACAACCTCCTCCATCATTCATTTCAACGACACTACTGAGTTCTTTAGGGGGATCCAAACATGACAGAATAAAGTCATTGGTTCAAATTTTGCAGCAGGATAACGTGTGCTTCATGCAGTTTAATGGTTCGATCACAAAGTCCTTGCGGTAAGGTCATGAGTCGATTTGTGCTGCAGGGGCAGCTTCAGTGCAAGTTGTCAAGAGTCAACAGTGTCTGAACTCTACTGAAAGGATAACACGCTGTGATGATGGTCCAAAAGCTCCAAAATCAAACTTAGGGTTTCAGGTAAATTGAGATCTTTTGCAGGATTACCTCTTACTTCCTGTGCATCAATATCTTTGCTGACACCTCGTGTCCTTCAGACGGGGGGAATTGTCTTCCTGAGAGACCACTGCTAACTGAAGAGAAACATTGCATCATATGTTGGTCACAGCAGAGCAGAGTCACTCTCACTATAGGGATCAAGCATTCAGGTTATTTCTTTTCATTATCATTCATTGGTGCATTGTATTCTCTATGGCTGCTCTACAATAAAAGCCCCCAATAAAGGGTACAGTGTTCATCAAAAGGAGCAAGGAATGTTAGGTTTGTATTCATGTTTGGCTTGAGTTTGAAATGAAGCACAGATATGTCTTAAGATTGAGATATGTCTTATATCCAGGACCTTGATGTCTAGACTTGGGTGATGATAATCGACAAGTGAAGGTGCTTTAAAGTCAGGACTTTCTCTATAGCTGCCTGGTGAGCTGATCGGTTAGTTACATTCCCTGGCGCGGCCACAGCACCGTGGACTTGAGTGTCTGTCCCCTGCTGTGAGGCCAAAGGTTTAGGAGTTGTGGTGAACTTGTCTAAATATGGTAAAAGAATACAGCCTCCATGACTATTTATTTTCTCACCTGTTTGGGTTGTGACACCACAAGGACAAGGGTGACCTTAAAGGTTGACAGAGACGGTAACCCTGC